ATTTGCTAAATCTAAAAATACAAGAATTGTGCTTTCTTTAACATTAGAATTTAATTGAGGTGTTAAAGTTTTATGAATATTAATCACAGGTGCAAACCCTGTAATAATCAAACTAAGAGGAGCTGTCACTTCATTTTGAGATCCATTTCTATCTTTCCATTTCATTTTCATAGACATAGAATCTTTTCCGACCGGGATACTTATTCCTAATGCTGGACAAAGTTCCAAACCGATTGCTTGTGCAGCTTCATAAAGACCAGAACCTTCACCATCATGATTTGCTGCACACATCCAATTTGCGCTTAAACGTATATGAGAAATTGATTCAATATTTGCAGCTGCAAGATTAGTTATAGCTTCTGCAACTGCCATACGTGCAGATGCAGCTTGTGAAATTAAAGCAAGTGGAGCCTTTTCACCCATTGCCATAGATTCACCGGTGATGATTCCAATTCCATAGGATGTCGTCGTGACAGCAACGTCAGAAACAGGTACTTGCCAAGGTCCAACCATTTGATCTCTAGCTACTAACCCAGTAATGGTACGATCACCAATAGTGATTAAAAATGACTTGGAACCTACAGAAGGTAAACGAATGACTCTACTAATAGCATCTTTAAGAATATCATCATTACTAACAACATTTGTAAGGTAACTTTTCAAGCTTGTGTCAAATGGTACACGTAGTGGTTTCACCGTATTTGTTTTACGAGACATCTTTGGTGGTTTACCAAACAAAACGGACATTGGTAAATTTATCGGGGTTGTGTTTAATAAGGAATCTTCCAAAACCAAATCTTGTTTTTCTGTAGCAATACCAACATCCGCGAACGGACACCTGTCACGTATACAAATTTGTTTGAATAATTCAATATTTTCTAAAGTTACAGCTAAAACGTAACGTTCTTGGGCTTCATTACACCAAATTTCCATTGGTGACATACTTAAATCATCATTAGGAATATCACGTAATCTAATAAAACAACCTAAATCGCTATCATGTACAATTTCAGGTAAAGCGTTAGATAACCCTCCAGCACCAACATCATGTATTGACTGAATAGGATTGGCATCTCCTAAAGCAGTACATGCATCAATTACTTGTTGACAACGACGTTGCATTTCAGGATTATCACGTTGAACTGATGCAAAATCTAAATTAGCCGAACTAGCACCACTAGTCATAGATGAAGCAGCTCCACCACCAAGACCAATTAACATTGCAGGTCCACCTAATATAAATAAATGAGCACCGGGAGTAATTTTTTTTTTGAAAACATGATTTGGTCGAATTGATCCTAAACCTCCAGCGATCATTATAGGTTTGTGATATCCACGAATTTCATATTTATTATTAATTGTAGGTACTTTTTGAGCAAAAGTACGAAAATAACCAATAATATTTGGACGACCAAATTCATTATTAAAAGCGGCACCACCAAGAGGAGCTTCAATAATGATATTTAAAGCAGAAGCAATATGATTAGGTTTTCCGAAATCAATTTCCCAAGGTTGAATAAATTCAGGAATTAAAAGATTTGATACACTAAATCCTGTTAATCCAGCTTTAGGTTTTGAACCTTGCCCAACGGATCCTTCATCTCTAATTTCACCACCTGACCCTGTAGAAGCTCCAGGAAATGGAGAGACAGCTGTTGGATGATTATGAGTTTCAACTTTTACTACCATATGAACATCTTCATCGAATAAAGTGTATTCATATTCTTTATTATAATCTGGAGCAAATCTTGTAGCCTTAAATCCTTGTAATACAGCAGCATTATCAGAATAAGCTGAAATTGTACGATTTGGATTTATTTTATGAGTATTACGAATCATATCAAATAAAGAATATTGTTTCTTTTCATTATTTATCGTCCAATCAGCACGAAAAATCTTATGTCTACAATGTTCAGAATTAACTTGAGCAAACATAAAAAGTTCTACATCAGTTGGATTTCTTTCTAAAGAATTATTACCAATAAAAGCTTCAACTAAATAATCTATTTCATCATCAGCAAGAGCAAGTCCAAGTTTTTGATTTCCTTTAACTAATTTTTCTCGAGCTAAATTAAAATCTATTACAATATTTTTTTTATCATCATCATCATTTAAAAGATTTATAATTCTTAAAGGTGTAGGTAATCCATGTTTGAATATAGAATCAGAGGCTGGAATAGATTTACTAATAATTTGTGTCATTCGATCATATAAATAATGATCAAATAAACATAATTTTTCGGAAGTAATAAAAAATATATTTGTAGTAAAATCTTTTGTACCAAACAAATATGCTACACCACGTTCAATACGTTCAATATAATTTTTTAAATTACACATATGAGCAATATTTGTGGCTTTTGAAGACCATGGTGATATAGTACCAGGACGAGGTGTTACTAAAAAAAAATTTGAATTATTTTCAGAAATTGTTATATCAGAAGTTAAACATTTTTTAAGTTGATTAATTGATAAATTTTCATAATTAGAATCATTTGAAATATGTTTTGAAATATGATTATTGGAAATTCCATAAAATAATAAATTTTCAAGAATTTTTCTTTGAGTTGATTCTGGATTATTTAAGATAACAAGTGCTTCTTCGTTAAGTGGTTGTACGAAATGAACATAAATTGATGTTATAGAAGTAATTTCTGGAACATGAATTTGAATATTTTTTAAAAGAGCAGAAGTTTTGAAAGATGATAATGCAGGGTTTCCCGGTAAAACTAACATATTGATGATGATGAGAAATAACTGTATAAATGATAACGATATAAATATTTGATTATCACCATCAATTGCTATCAATTGCCATCAATTGATTGGTTTATAGTAAGTGATGCCAAATTAGGCAAGGTCACGAAAGTTACGCGAAATTATAACTAAGATCTCGATACTACCGATACTACCTCGATACGTATAACACGATTTATTATTTATTTTTTTAATGCATGTTATTAAAGTTCTGCAAGCACCAGATACGGTACTATTAAAAACTTGCTTGTGACAGTGTTTGACACTTGCAGAATCCTACTTGTTACGTACAAAATTTACACTGATAAAAAAAATATATAGTACGTACGTACAAGAATATAAATGGACTATATAGTTAATTATGTGTCAGTATCAGGTATACGTACGAACAAGAAGTTAAATTATAGCAGTGATCGACCTTTATAGAATTTATTGAATTTATAGAATATAAAGAATATATACATATCTGATATGTACATATGAGTATTTATGTATGCGTCAAAAATAAAAAAATTATATGTTTGAACAATCAATATTAATACTGTATTAAAATAAACTCAATCTTAATATTTAAAATAGTCACAAAATTTTAATTAAACCAAATTCAATCTTTAAATATTTAAATACTGTAGTCAAAAAAATTTAATTAAAAAAAAAAAAAACTAACCCACCAATCCAATCTCTTTCCTTTTACACATATCCAATGCTTTAGGTTGTCCTTGCAGAGCAGCCTTTCTTAAATATCTAATCCCTAATTCCTTATCCTGAGAAACTCCTGCTGACCCATTATAATATAAATTACCAATATTATATAATGCAGTAGTATTACCGTTATCTGCTGACTTTTGAAAATATTCAATTGCTTCTTTTATATTTTTTTGGATACCTTCTCCTAACCATAAACAATGTCCATAACGTAATTGAGCATCGGCTAAACCTGAATCTGCTGCTTCTTTAAATAATGCTGCAGCTTTTTCTAAACGTTGACATTTCTTATTTTCATCATTAGGATCATCAATCGGGCAAAGTCCATAATAAAGATAGTATCCTACCCAATATCTGATATGATATTATTTATTTTTTTACGTGTTAGAAATCATAAACTAACTAAATCTGAAAAAAGTAAAAAAAGGAAACGAAAAAAAGTACCTCGCAGTAATATCACCAAATTCATCAGCATGTACTTTAAATGCATCCCATACTTTTAATTTATCGCCATTCTTTTTCCTATGTTCAGCAATAGCTTCTTTCATACTTAAAACATTTAAATCTAAAGTTAAATCATCCAAAGAAAGTTCATTAGGATCCACATCTGGTAAATCTTCATCAGTAGGCATACGAGATAGACCAGGTTTTGGAGAAGATTTAGGATGAAATTTTTGATTAAGACTATAAATAGTCATAAATATATTTTTAAGAGCAGGACGAGCATTTGGACTTTCTTGCATTGATTGATAAGAGATTTTTGAATACTCAGTAGGAACACCGATACTAAATGATGGACGAACTTTTTTTACTAATACTAAATTACGAATTTCTAATATATCTCTTTCATTCTCAAAAGGAATTTTTTCTTCAGCAATTTCCCACAAGAGCATACCAAAACTTTAGAATAATAGGGAATAATAGGGAATAATAGTGAGTAATAGTGAATAATAGGGAATAATAAATAATAAATGCGGAATTAAAGTTGAAAAATGAAAAATCCAACACGTACCTATATATTTCACACTTTATAGTGTAAGGATTCTTTTCATGATCAATTAATTTTTCAGGAGCCATCCATCTTACCATTTCAATAGTAGGTAATACATTTTTAGTAGGATCATTAAAACCACGACTTAAAGTAAAATTAGCAATTTTAGCTTGTTGATGAATTGTAATTAAAATATTTTCCGAACGAATATCATGATGTAAAATTGAAACAGTATGAAGAAAAGTTAAACCACGAACAAGATCAACAGCTATAGAAGATTTTTGAAACCAAGAAAGAGGACCATAACCACGATAAAAATCTTGTAAATTACCATATTCACACCATTCAGTAACCATATACATAACATTACCATCTTGAACGATACCAAAAAATTGAAGAATATATTGAGATTCTTTTAATTTTTTTAAAATAACAACTTGACTAAGAATATCTTTAATAAGATCTTGATCATTTGATTCAAAAAATTTTTCTTTAACAGCCACATCATCGTAATTTAAAGTTTTTTTTGAAATTTTTCCACGTTTTACTGGTTCAGGAGGATCATATAAATCAGTCATTTTAATCAAAGCAGATTCAAAAATATTTTCATCATTATTTAATAATTTTTTTTGCCAAGCTAAATTTAATTGAGTAATGTCATCCAATTTTGAATTAATTTGAGTTATATTATCGGTGATATTAGTAATACCACCTTCAATTTCTCTAAGATACTAATGATAAAAAAAAATAAATAAATAAAAATATATATATAAAAAAAAAAATTATATTTAAATATATATTAGATATATATATTAGATATATATTAGATATATATATTAGATATATATTAGATATATATATATATATTATATAAATACCTTTGTCATTTCAGAAATATCATGTTTCAAAACTTTTTTATCTTCTTCCATTTGTATTTGATTTTGTACAGCCATAGTAAAATTTAATATACGCATTAAACCATCAAATTCTTCAGTTAAAATTTTAAATTCATCTTCAATAGATTTAGAAGCTAAAAATCTTCTTAAACCTTTAATTTGAGAAACTTGTTCAATAAAAATTTTAACTTTACTAATAACATTAACAAGTTTTTGAAAATTTTTATAATATTCTTTTGATTTAAATAAATCTTCATTTTCAAGTCTACGAATTTCTAAATTATTTACAGCAGTTTGAGCAGCTGTTGCACGGGCAAGAAGTGAACCACAAATACGTTTATTATGTTCAGCAGTTTGATAAAGATGAATTATTTCATTAACTATACTTGATACTTCAGTTATTAAAGGAACGAATGGTACAATAGCATCAGCAACAACAGAAGCGGTAGATGAAAAAATTTTTGCTACACCAATAGCACTACTAGTTACGTTAGCTACATGATTGATATAAGCAGAGGTTTCGGACATTGTGAAAAATCACTATAACTACTAAAAAAAGATGTAAATTTTCTTGAATCGAAATTTTTACGTATTTGTACGTACACGTATATGTTTGTATCACATGAGTGTAAATTGAATATCTTTATATTCTTGAATGCTAAATTTGGGAGGAGAATAGTTTATGATTTAACGATTATTAATTCTGTAATTCTGTAATTCTGTAACTCTTTAATTCTGTAATTAAAATTAAGGTTAGGGTTAGGGATAAGGAGGTATTATACGTAGGTAAAAATTTACTTTCTAGAGATTTTTTATTAATGCACCAACATAGGTTTAGATACCCGTTTCTCGTATTTTTCGAGATTTCTTATGTAATTGATTAAATATTTTATTAGTATACAATTTTATTTTTAGTATATATATGATTGATTAATACGTACAGTACAGCAGTAGTAAAGAGTGTATAAAAAAATCAACTATTGAAAGAAAAAAAAAAAAATTTTAACGCACAATTTAGAAATTATTATAATTATTATGTTTTGTGGTTTGTATATGATATAATCGTTTTTTAGTTTCTTTTTAATAAATAGTTAATAAAATACAGTAATGCAGTAGTATTTGCTATAAAAAGAATATATTCTAATATAACTTATTACAATAAAGCAGGGTCGGCAATGGAACCAAATTGAGCTTCGAATGAACTTAATGAATAGTAAGCAATTTATTGAATTCATTGACAACTTTGCAATAATTTATATACAATATATTAAGATTTATTACTGTATTTATACTGTATTTTTATTTACTATATTTTTAATTATAGTAGCTTTGCTAATACTGTAAATAGTGTTTGATAAGACTGAGAAAATTTAATACTGTAAAAACAATGGAAAATGTAACAGAGAAAACTGTTTTCCAATAGTATTTTAATACCGACCGTGCAGCTACCAGTAATTCTAGTTAGGATTGATAACAAAAGAAAGAATAACAACCATTTAAATTTAAGAGAATTAAACACTAAATTCAATCATTCAAAAAAAAAAAAAAAGAAACTGCAACTCTAATTAATACAGGTATCGCTGTGCAGGTTTAGAAACAAACATAATTTAACAATGTCTAAAATTTTTTTTTCGGGATAATATAAATTACGAAATATTGCACTACTAAGAATAACATTTACAGTATTGTAGTGCACAACTTTAAAATATAATATCAAATATAATTTATATAGATTGTACGTAATATAAATTATATATATATTATATAATTCTATATAAATTATGATAATGCCGTAGAACGCAGGAGCGAAAAGAAAAAATTAACGATTCGATAGACGTGAAGAATTTGAGTAGCGATAATTGTTGATGTGCAGAAAATAAAGGTTATATATTAAAGAGATTACAATAATGAAAATAAAAAGTATTATATAAGTAAGTTTTGTTCTTTTAATCAAAAATGCGAGATTTATAATTTCATCAAAACTCTTTGAAGAACGTGAAATTATCCGTTGATTATTATTTTTTTTTTTTGCAACGTTCTGATTAAAAAAAACTTTTTTTTTTGCCAAGAATTTTTTTTTATATCATTTTTAAGATGTATCATTTTGAAAATGATGCCAACATGTATTCTCTCTCCGCTTATACTTACACTAATAACATTAATTCCGAACAAAACGTTCCATCGTTGTCATTTGATGCTTATGCAAATTACAGGTACACACAATTAATTTAATTATGATTATCGAACAAATTTTTTTATTTTAATAAAATTTTTTATCAATTTAAATTTTAGACCCGAAAATTATCATTCAGGATCATCCTTTCTTTCATATACACCTCAAACTTCATCAGTTCATTCAAATGATGTTTATGTAGTTTCACCTACCACACCACAAATTGATACAAATCTTTGGTTTATTGACTCATTTACGTCCAGTAATACATCATTAGTTTCTCAACAGTCCAATCTAATTACAAATAATAACACTTTACGAAAAAAACAAGAAAATTTTAAAGTATGCTCAGATTGTGGAACAGATCAAACTTCAACATGGCGTAAATATGGAACAAGTCATTTGTGTAATCCGTGTGGAATTTATCGTACAAAGTATGGAATTCAACGTCCGACTTATCGTGATGTTGATGGTAAGATTAGGATTAAGAGAAGAAATACTCAACAAAATAGAGAATGTGCGAATTGTAGAACTACTGAAACTCCATGCTGGAGAAAGCTTGAAGAAAGAAGATTATGTAATAAGTGTTGTCTATATCAAAAATTACATGGTCATCCAAGACCACAAAAAATTCGGGGTCGACCGTACTAGCAATACAGTAATATGATTTGTTTAAACATTGGACTATTACTCGTTATAAAAATATCTATAGTATGTTAATCTTTTTTTAAAAAATTTTTACAAGATAATTCTACACTTATTAATAGAAAACTTTTACAATTAAATATTATAGAAAAATATAAATTTAAATTTCTTTTTTTTTTTCTTTCCTTTTTTTTCTTTTCCTTTTTTTTTTTTTTTTTTTGTTGTATTATTATCAATAATAATAATAATAGCGAGTAGCAATAATAATGGGCTAGGTTTAAAGGACAATAAAAAAGTTTATTTGACAATAGATGTGGAATAATATACACGGGTCTTTCTTTATACGCGTGCACCGTCTACACTTAATAAGTAATCCCCTCTCTACTTTTTTAATTTCAGAAAAAATAATTTGATTAAGGAATGCTTCTTTTATAATTCCGCTAATCTGAGGTTAAAAAAAATAATAATAAATAATGCAGAGGGGTTACTTATTGAAATATATGTAATAGTACTTAAAATTTTTTTAAATACGTATAACGATAATGATGTGTAAAAAAAATACGCACAATTTTTTTTGATCTAATTAATCTCATAATATAATAAATTTCTCATAATATAATAATTCAGCATTTACATACGTACATGGATAGATGTATTGAAAAACCTGATTAGTTCTGTAGTTACAGTATTTCACATGCGTCTTATTTTATTCCTGAAATCGTAAATTTTTCCGTGTAATTTTTCTTTGTCAATTCTTCTCTATAATTACTTATAAATTCGTAAGATTATCTAGCATCAGTATATATATCGTCCACATGTTGACTAACCAATCAATATGTCAATTTCATGTCAATTTCATGTCAATTTTACAATTACGCATGCACTTACTTTCGATTAGGGTGTGCGATATCATATGAATGCTGTCAAGGGAAATCCTGTCATCGGCTTTTCAATTTGTATCGGATGTAGTCTATCTAATTTATTAAAGTACTGAAGTATACAAGATATAATTCAAGCCCCATGACAGGCTTTCCTTTAGCGGGCACTCATCTATGTATGTATGTAAAATTTTTTGCCGATCATTTATCACACTACTTCTGAACTAGTATGTCTACATAGATATAATTTCACGTTAGAATAAAAAAAAAAGGCTCTGTAGCGTTATAGAGCATACCAAGAGAAATCCAAAAATTATATTTTTATCTGCGCAGACACACTGGTTCAAAATTAATACTGTAAGGATTCGAAATTCATATTCAAAATTTCGAAAATCTAAATAGATTGATACACACATTATTATGCCTGTTGATCATTTAATAAATTTATTGATTTTATACTTAATCTATTTTCATGAGAATATTTTTTAAGAAAGTCGCCTTCAGAACAACTTCAATTTCTGGACGTACTTTAGGATCTTTATCCCAACAATGTTGATAAAGTTTAATGCTTCTCAAAGGAATAAAAAGGTAGTCTACCACTAGAAAACCCCCAAAGAATTACTCTGAAACTATAAAAACGAGCTATCTCCTATGCAAATCTGTCCATTTTAATTTCGAAAAATTCTTAAAGTATTCGCGTAAATTTCCACAAAAATCTGTTATTGAATGATCTGTTTAAATAGATATTATTAATACTGATTTCGAAAAGATACCATTTTTTTAAAAAAATAAAATAGTAACTTTTAATTGCTTAATTACCTTTTGTAACCCTATAAAGTTGGTCGATACTTAGACGTTTATGTTTATCAACATCAACGAGATGCTGAAGCTATTAGGGAGAATGAGAAAGATGCAAATTTTTATTCGGAAAAGTAATAAAAATATTGCCTCATTAATAAATGCTCTAAAACACGTAAATGTTACATTAATAATAGCTTTCATTGGTAATAGTTATTGGTAATGGTTTCATTGGCAATAGCTTTATTGTTAGTAGTTTTGGTGATCTTCGCAATAATTCCATTGCTAATTAAACTTTTTTCCATTTTGCGGTGCGTACAGTTCCAAACAGGTTTTTACAAGCTTTCTAAATTGTAGTCATGTTCGTTTATAGTTAGGCCTCCTTCATTAAATAATCTTTTCAAATAATTTATCGTTAGTGTTTAACATATTTACCGAATCAAATTTGATTAATAAAAAAATTCCGTGTGTATAAGTTCGCTAAAATGGGACTTTATAAATATTCTGTTACTGTTAACATAATATATAAAGGAATTTTTCATATTTCATACTTTTGTTACTCCGTTAAGTTCTGGACTCGTCTCAACTCGTGATTCAAGCGAATCATGTGATTGACATCGAATTATTCAAATCACGAAAATTTAACTTATACTGTATTCTAATAAAAGCTGATTTTGGTACCAGACTCTAACAAATGTGGACTCGCGAATCTCACAAATCATGATTCGAATCGTGATAAATTCGAATTATTCGAGTCACAAGTTGACGACTCCAGTCACTAGTATGTAGCTGTGTTACTTTGTGGTTTTACTATACACAGCTCAGACTATAGCTGATAATATATGGGAAAAAGGAACGAAAATGACAATTTTTTCAACTAAATTTTTTTACATAAATTAATTTAGAATAAGATTAGAATCTTTTTTCACTTAAGACACAAAAGTAGTTGTGTTAATAAAATTTTGCAGTATAGCTCTTTAAACTTTGTATTTTCTTATAATCTATTATAAGATTTTCTGAAGATCTTTTGTTTT